GTAATCAGGCATATATATATATATATATATATATATATATATATATGCTAAACGATGTGCACTAATTTACGTACAAATATTTCCAGAAATAAATCTACTGAATTATTTGTAATAGATCGAAGGGTTAGCAGTACTAATTAAGTGTATCCATAACTTATTTATCTGGATGTGGTGATAGCAATCGAAAAAATATCGAAGTACAAACCCTCCGCTTGAATAAATTAACATTTGTCAAATAAATATCATCATATTGGCGGTGTTTTGTGGAGATTGTGGTAACTTAATAGTTGAATTCATGAGTCGATTAAAGCTAGATCACCACTGAGAACCTGAAAGCACTGGATAGCCGTTTGATCCTAGTATGGGACTCCCCAGAGATGTGTGCTCACTTGTGACCAGCTTGAACAGGTATTTCCTAGAGTCCTAGTGAGAAGCGATGACCAATGGAGTTCAACCGTGTCTGTGGTGAGGCAGTTACTCACTGGAGCCAATGGTGGACGGTGGCGTAATATCGTGTATCAGTTGAAGTTAGACATTCAAACCCTTAGATGCCAACTTAGTAGTCTAAAGGTTAAGTGTTTGAGAACGAGGCCGAAATTCCTGAGTTCGAATCCCGCAAAAGGGATCTTGGATGCACAGTACTAAGTCCCATACTAGGACGAAACAGCCGTCTAGTTCTCCCAGGTTTTCCTTGGTGTTCTAGCTTTAATCAACTCGTGAATTCAACTATTAAATAAATATCAGTTGCTAACTGAAAAATATTTTGCATATATATATATAGTTTTTAAGCCTTCATTTTTTCATTACAAAAAAAGATAAGAATATATTTTTGCAACCGGAATTGTAGTCTAGAATTTCAACACACCTTATACACATCTTACTCCATGATTGATAGTGATAGTTCTTTTTGACATAAAGGAATTATCATGATTTTTAATATATTGACGATATATATCACAATCCAAGAGTATCAATTTGGATGGATAAGACTTTCAGCTTTGATATCTAACAGATGTAGTACACATGGATAACATAAAGTACCTAGGTACGGAGAAAACGATTGTGACAATATATACCAATCTTTTCATTACTATTAACTGCTTCCTAGAGTCATAAGTAAAGATCTGCCAAAATGTATTGTCTTTTATGATGAGCCGATTTCGGAAAATGCCTGATTAAACTTTAATTAGAGCTTGAATGAATAACCGTAAGAATTCTTTAATAATGTGAAAACACACTTGGTTAGAATTATTCAATTTGTTACATTGTTACACGTCCGAAACTAAACAACGTATATATCAAAATTTTCTAAATTTTTCTTCAAAATTTCGAAGGCCATTGTGGAACTTCATTAAATGTATAAATTTATTTGAAGTAAAGTATATTTCTTTTAACTAGTTGGATGACAAACCTCAATAATTCCATATTTTAGCGTCTCATGTTAATAAGACGGTAACTACACTTGGAAAAAAAACGAATTTTGAATTATGTGAAGATAATATGTCAGTATGCATGATGCACTTTTTCGTGTCTCTTATACTAATTCTTCGTGTCTAAGTAAGTAGAAGTTTCTTTCTGAAAAATAGGAGGATACAAAATTTACAACTTCTATTCAATATCAGTAAAATTTGTACGCCTCAGTTTACACACCAAAACATTTTAAAGCATGTTGCTACTCACGACAATTCATGTCATTTCAATTCATATCAGTAGTTTATGTTTAAGGTAGGCTGAAATACAACCAAGTCCGTCTCTATTTGTCTTTACCATAAGTTCAACCAAATGAGTCCTTAACAAGTTATTGGGTTTTTTTCATCTTCAATTATTTATTTCGGCCATAAAACATCAATATGGGTGGGTATGGTAGAAGGGTACTGGGTCTGTGTATATAACCACCATATACCTACATAAAAACTTACGAACACTAAGAAGAGAACTGTAATCTTTTGAGTCTCATATGTCACCTGACAGATGAAAATCAAGAAACAACATAAAAATAATTGACTGACACTCGTCATCAACTCATTTTTTTGACGTGGTTACACATAAAGGATTTCAGTGAATATAGAAAACTGTAATGAGAATAATGTAAAAGGTTTTAAACACAAAAGAGATCACTTTGGACTCATTTTTTAGGAACACTAGATAACTACATATAGACTTTCTGAGTTAGTTAACAAATATCAATACGTGAAAGGTGCACCTGTCAAGATACAAATGCACTTTACGACAAAATCTTTTGATATTTTATGCACTTGTCCGAATGATATATCAGTTAACAGTTGCACAGACAACAATAAGTAGGCATAACTTCACAACACAGAGCAAGACAACCCAAATCACAGTTTGGATGATAACTACATGTTTGAGATTATTTCCGTTTAAATTACTTTCGTTGTTAAGTAGAGGAATGAAACATTCACTAGTTGACAACTGTGATAAATTTAAGGTGATTTCTGAATCGTCGTAACACTTGTTGTTTTCGCTTAAATGTTATCAAAAGTAATCGATTACACATTGGAAACGAACGAACAAACCTGTCAGAGGTTGTGGTTATTACGGGAATCGTTTGTTTTGAATCGCTGACAGTTATCGTAACATCATACTGTGGAATACCAGTGGAAGCGGAAAATATACTCGTGTCTAAAATTTCATTGATAAAATAACCGCTTTAAACATGGGGTTGCATATGCATATTTTATGGGAGAACTATTTAAATTAATGATATTGTGGTGTGTGCTACTTATATTGACATAAGTAGTATATGATGTTAGTCGTGAACAGAAGGTCTGGCAGCAGAGAGACAAGAGGATCGAATAGCGAAGAATGGAAACAAGATGCAATTCGTATGAAAATGCGAGAACAATGAATTCTGAGTCATTTTGAGACAATTGGTGGATATTTTGCAAATTAAGCATTTACTTCATGATTGTTAGATTTTATTAACAAGTCCTGTAATTTTGTGACATACATTTGATTGTCCCCACCCGTGTTCTGTTCACCACAATATTATCATAAAAATTAGCTATTTCTAGCTGCTTATGCAAAACAATAGATCATAGATAGTGACTTGTTAACACTCAAAATTTGAAAACATTTTAAGTTGACGAGTCGTCAGCTAAGTGTACCTATAACATAACTTCTTACTGTCCCACCTAATACTCAAACGAAGAATCTGTCCTTTCAGGCATTAATATTATTTTCAAGGCTGCCCATTTACCATAACCGTTAGATATCTGTATAGCATACGTTTAACTAGCAAACAGGCCAGTAGGGACAGGTAAATCTTACTTGTGAAATTAGGAGCACCATCTTAGATTCATACGAGCTTACAACCTATGAGTAAACGTTTTATGTGAGACGACTGTGAGTTGATTATTTTTCCATTATAGTATTGGCCAGTAATAAAACAAAGATAATAATATTTACAGTCCTTCGAGTGCTTTGGATCCTATAGTGAGGTGTGAGCTCGTAAATAATCAGTCCGTGATGACACAAAATCTAGAGTTGTTTTGCTTCTCAAAGCCTAAAACAAAAGCTCTTATTCCAATACTTTCAAAGATATGCTTTACGGAATTGTCTGCAGGACATTTTGTATAAGCTAGCTTGCTTCATTAGAGCTTTAATAGGTACTCAAGTCCTCTTCAGGCCACTTAGCAATTCTGTCATAGAATCTAAAATGAACTTCTAAAAAATAATTAGTCCAGAATCCATGAATATGGTTTCATTAGGCAATTGGTAAAGCATACAAATACTCTCAGAGCTCATTCATATTAGACTGCAGAAACGTTGGAGTTAATTCATTACCACTATTTTTAGCAATATTATTTCTTTTTTACTGTGAATTCTAAAATAAATTAACTAGTTTCACATGTTATAATGATAACATTCTTACAGTATCCTCAGTATGAGTACATTGATCAAGGCAAGAAAAATTTATAACCCGGGTCACTTTCACTAACATGTGATCCTACCAAAACGTTTTTGTATATTAAGGATTAATACAGCATAGTAGCATCACAGTGACCAACTAAACGTTTATTCAAAATTACTTTCAATTACACTTTTATAGGTTCAGTCGAGGAAGACAACTCATTTTGGTGACATAAAACTAAACGAATATATAATGGAGCACCTATATATTCCTTCATGTGTAGATTTATTATGCAATGGACAACGGACTAAAACTAGAGACATCCAATTTTACTTCATCCCAATCAAAACAAGTGTTATTGAGTATAGTGAAGAAAGTAGAGTGTGAAGTTATCGCGGCCAGCATGATGAAATTGACCAGCTTAGATGTATATTGCACAATAGGTTATCTAAATGACACCTAATTACGTCTATGGCTGTCCTAAGTATAAATATTGACAGACAGAGAAATATTCAGAGTAATCTGACTTTTGATACACTGGTCAACCTAAGCCTCATTAACTTGTCGCCTGTACAAATCTACTGACGCTGTAAAAATGAGAAGTAGAATGACGGACAACACCGAATATTTTGATGCTTATTTATATCAATATAGTACTGAAAAATTTAAATTTCGCTAGCTTCCATGAGAATATGAGAAATGTATAAAGACAGATCTAATGAAAAACAAGCATATCATTTAGAGACTGTGGTGGGATTATAAACGATAAATACAATCTTTATTGTCTAAAAAGACGGTCAGCTAAAGAACCAGACGAAATCACGTTTCTCAAATATTTTAATCCTTCGAATTCACCAAATGGTTTATACTCTAGACAAATATATGGTAATGATGAAAACGTATTGCTTGAGATGCTGAATGCAGCGATTTCCTTCACTCTTCCTAATTCATTTCCAAACGTGAGATTTCACAGTAAAATACTCAACTATGGTTGAAAACTTCGACAAGTTGTAGGAATTCAGTTTATAAGTAAATCATATTTCTTGGAACGTTTAAAAATCTCAGGGTTTTTTATTCTAGTCGATATACTGGGTTAATTAAGCAAAAAAATTAGGGAGTAACTTGCGTTCTTCAAGTTGACTTTTTGATTCCAGAAGGTTATGAAAATAATTTGCTGCGAACTCAACCAAATCAGTCGGCTTTTCTGATATAGCCTTCTCCGTGAACTTCTCCAGTAACTCCGGTAATCCTTCGGGTATCATACTAACCAACAATGGAAACAAATTACCGCTCTAACGATAACTGAAACAGAATACAGCTTATCGAATTTAAACAACTTCATACATTTAACTAAATTTGACGTAAAGAACAAGGACTTAAAACCCTGTCGTGTTCTCATACGATTTGATGTACGAATACATAATCATGAGGAATGTGTCTGTTGAAGGTGAAGTCATTACTTCTTTTAGTTGGAATTGCAACATTTGGTCACTCCGTTGAAAACAAATTTTCACGGAAACGAGACTGATTTCGAGTTTTTAAACTATCTCATATTCTTTCTCGTCTGTGTTTATTTTAAAGGGGGAGGGAGTGGCGTCAAAGTACTTCTGACATTGCTTATGACTGACTGTCGGAACATTGACTGGGAAAGAATAGTAGTAAGTAATAACCTTCAAGATTTAGCCTACAATATTTACCCAGTTACTATCTTCAAAGGCCTGTAACAAAGTCCTTTCTCCGTATTATAGACGCTTTTTCCTACATTAGTGGGAATGGCACTTACAATCCCGTCCTTATCATATCTTGTTTAGTACTCAAGTTAAGAGCACACGCCTCATCTTCCACCACTTGCTGCCATATTTTGGTATTTCTTGTGTTAGTAATACCTGAAGTTTGTTAACATAAAAGTTATCCTTCTGCCTTGTAGATTTATTTGTGAATTTGTTCTGGGTAGAGCTTACCAATAGTCGAAACGAATCGTTTCTGAATTAATTTGAAGGACTTTGAGCCACTAACACACTGACCGCTGTCAAGAACATGTTTTCATTATAGACAAGCCGGATATCATTACACGATGCAGCGACATGAACCAGAAGAGGAAAACGAGAATGCTAAGCGTCTGAAAAGTCTATGTAGTTTCAACAACATGGCTGTAGGCGACAGCATTTTCTACAACGCAAGTGAAAACAAAGTCACATGTATCTCATTAGACAACATTTCAGAGTTCCAGAATATTCACATCTTCGTAAACCAAAAAACAAGAATTTCGGCAGAAGCTGGAGAACCAAACAGAGAAGCTAATATGGCTCGGAATCACAACCTGGTTTTGGGCCTAGCCAAAACTGAAGTTAAAGAAATATTGTACAGTTGAACTTGCTTTACGAGTGGTCGAATGTTCAGTATTCCTTCAACCTCTTTTAAAAATACCATCGAAGACTCGTCCGTCAATACCTTCTGAAAAAATAGTGATCGCAGAGTCCTTCTTATTGAATTCATGATGCGTCCGCATACACTGCTTTGATGACTGGCTCTAGGAACGTCATCCACACCCTCTTTCTAAAATGGCATTTACTATCCTATTCTGGTTCCAATTACACAAAATCAGTCTAAGACTAGTGTTGGCTCCCTTAAAGCTGCTAGATGCACCCTCACTCTTATTCACAACACCATGTTCGATAGCACGGCGAATATGTGCTGTCAGCTTCCTCAGGGTCTTAGTTATTGACTTCTTTGATACAGTGGTCTGTAGCGTGGCGTCGAGTCAAGGTTAACTATGAAAACCGCTACCAAGAAACACGTGCCAAGTTAATCAGAAGGCGAAGGTTGGACGTAACCAAATAAATCCATAAAATCTCCGAGAAGCCAAATATCAGAAGACAATTAATGGACCAAATCGAGATATATATTCGCTGGCGATCTCGTGGTATCGAAAGGATACCGAGATCGTGCCAGAATACAAGCTTGGTTACAGAACGTAACCAAATTCGCGCGAAGTCACAATCAAAGTGTAAGTAAAAGGATGGAAGCAAAATATAGCTGTTATTAGCACAGTCAAACAAAAGCACATTAAAACAAACACTGGTACAGTTGTTTATAATAATAACTGTTTTTATTAAACCAGTCGTGTTCCCGTGATAAATGTGAGTCACTACAGGTCTTTGGCTTATTCGGTTTCTTAACTTTCGGCTTGATGACCTTCTTTTCTTTAGGCTTTCTTAGAGTTGATTTGGGTCTAGTAGCAGATGGTGCTTCAGTTTTTGGCTTAGCAACCTTGGGCTTAACTAATAAAAAGGAACAATAGACTTGACGGGAGACAACACCATATGTAAATTCTAAGGCATCAGCAGAGCCAATGGTTTGCACGATTCTGGTACGAGACATCTTGGAAGTGACAGTTCACTGAGGCGCTTCATACCTCTAAGCCAGCAGTCCCATCTCATAAAGCACTCTGTAGGAAGCAATGCGTCTCGTGCCAGATTTTTCAGACAAGTGTCTTACATAATTAACTCAGTTGATAAAACAACTGGAGCTATTGACCAAAAGGGGTCAAATATAGGAGCTACAAATTACAATATTGTTCTTCTTGTAGGAGTCGCATCGAATTCGCACTCTATGAAGATCTTATCCTTTCAGAGATTACACTCTATTCCTACAGTTCTTTAATTTCTTTCCATAGATAAACAAATTTCCACGTTACTTTCTGTGAGGTCTTTCTCCGGAATAAACTTCGTTAATTCAAAATTGTTGCTGGCCCACTTAGTCAGATCAGAACAGTAAACGTAACATCTCCGTCAGCTGAGGGTATACTAATTTAGCTTCTTCTAACGCATAAACACTGGTTAATAAAACGTCAATGTAGAACTGTTGCCTCGCTGTCTGTATAATACACTCGTAAGCATTCAGCGAACGGATTTTCAATGAGGTACTAGTCGAAACTTTGTGGGATTTAATTTGTCCTACAGATATACTGCAAAAACAGTAAACGCGAAACTGACAAACCCAGAGTCTATGTGAAAGTTATAGTCAGAACAAGGACAAAATCGCTTTAAACTTTACCTATTTCTAAACTTAAAAACGATTATTAGGGAGATTACAGTCATTAAGTAAAACTATGATAATTAGAAATATTTAAGTTATAGTACAAACTACGAATCTCAGAAATAATACAATCGGATCAAGAAGTACTATATAAGCACGAACAAATGTACTGTATTTGGAATTCGAAATCAAGCATTCAACAAGTACAAAGGAATCGTTAGTTCGTACAAATACCACATCCGCCACAGCTTAAATTTGATACTAAGTGTCTGCAAACGATTGAACGACTTCTCCTCAAATTCATCCTGTGTCTGTCGGACAGTGAATTGGATAGGGACTCTGTATTACTTAGAATGTATTGATTAACATTAGAATTAACAACTAAAATTGGAACAGATTCACCTGGTTCTTGGAATTGTATTTGATCAACATGTCGATTGTGTGTGCTTAAGTCATTGATATCTAAAATTCGCACCATATATTTCCCGACATTCTTTAGAACAATCCTTGCGGACGGTCGAAGATCATTCCCACGATAATATGTAACTTCTGCAGACACCAAATACCTCATTTTGGAGGAAGAATTCTTCCTTTTAATAGCTTTGATGGAGCCTCTTTCGTCACCGAATGTTTGGCATTTCTATATTGCAGTAGAAAGGTATCTACTCCTCTCTCCAGCTCATTAGATGTTGAGGCGGCAATAGAATCAATACCACTTTTTAATGTCCTGACAAAATTCTCTGCCTGACCATTAGAACACGGATGTCTGGGAGCAGTAAACGGATGTTTGCACCCTATACCATTCAACCAGGTAGTGACTGCATCTGCAGCTAAATGAGAGCCATTATCTGTCGCTGACACCATGGGAACCTCTTCTCGACTAAATACCTTTCTTAATGCTTGAATTGTGAAATCAGAATTTGGTGGAGTTGTGAAAAAATTTCAGGCCACTTTGAAAGAGAATCAGTGACTACTAGTGCATAGTATTCTTTAAGAAACGGACCTTAATAGTCTGCATGAATCCTCTGCCAGGCCTCAAACGATACTGGCCATGGAATCCACTTCGAAAGCTGATCTTTCAACTTGTGACATTTTCCACAACTGTTTACTGTAGGACATGTATCTGCACTTACCTCTGACCACCAACATGTGAGCCTTGCCAAAGACTTCATTCTCTCAACACCTAAATGTCCACTTTGAAGATCTTCAAGGACAGATTTACGCAATGAAGGAGGAAATACAGCAAGATCATTTAAACACAAAATACCATCAGGAGTAGTGGATAGTTCATCCCACTTTGGAAAATAGACAGGAAATCTACGTTTCGAATTAGCATTCCAGCCTTTCTGTATAGCACTGAGTATACGTCCAAAGTATCTACGCGTTTCTCTAATGAGACCTGAACGTCTCACTGGTAAAGGTTGCACTAACAAACAGTCTGAAGTATGAGCAGGTCTGTCTTGTAATGATTGTCGAGAAATGTAGTCAACGTGTTGAATTTGTTTGGCACTTCTGTGCTGAACCGCATAATCATATGTACTCAGACCAATACTCCATCGTTGAACCATAGCAGCTGAGGAACGTGCTAAGGATTTTTCAGGGTGATAAATAAACTTCAAAGCTTCATGATCAGTAACAATAGTGAATTTCTTTCGGAATAAATATTTATGAAGTCTTTTAACAGCCCGAAACTAGATACACAAAATGAACACTTATTTGGATTCCCTGTAATATTCTTCTCAATTAAACGACGCAATAAAGCAATAAGTCTCTGGTCATGAACTACCTTATTAGAACCATGAACAATGAGATCATCTTGATAAACTTCAATACCTTCAAGATCACTAACTACTTTATTCATAACTTCTTGAAATATGGCTGGAGAACAACTTAGACCAAATGGAAGGAAATTGTATTTGAACAGACCAAAAGGAGTGTTAATTGTCGTCAAAATAGATGAAGATTGATCTAGAGGGATTTGATGATAAGCATCATTTGGGTCAACTTTCGAGAACACTTTAGAACCATGAAGTCGATTTAGAATATCTTCAGCTTCTACCGTCGTGCACGTTTGCCTCAACAAACGGGAATTCAGAGTTAATCTATAGTCACCACAAATTCTAGGGGTCTTGCCGTCCGACTTCAGTGGCGTAACGATAGGAGTACCCCATGCTGAAGACTGAATCGGTTCAATTATGCCTTTCACATACAAATCGTTTAATGTCTTATGTACTGCTTCTCGAAAACCATAAGGAATTATTCTTCTTTTAAGAAAGACGGGATCACT